TGGTGGTGGGTTGGGGTAGTGGAAATTGGCGCTCTATCACAGTCGAATGGTCCAGGGATCGAATACCGTTTCGATACGTGACCATGACCAAGCCTTCCATTTCTCCGAGGTTGATCAACAATTACCAGGCTTCTCCGGCAAGATGAAAGCGCTGACTTGCAGATCACCTGGCCACTGCAAGCCATTGCATAGCTCAGGTCACACAAGCATTTAAAACGCCCATGCAGTTCTGAATAGAAATCGACTGCACGGCGCATTCCATAAATCGTCTCCGGGCAAGTTTGACAGCGCCATAGACTTTACTGTGAAGCTCAAGGATACCCGTGATCTTAACGATTAGACTCGATCCGTGCCCAGCGACGGCTCCTAGTTGTCTTGCTGCACGGCATGCCTCCGTCTTGACTACTCTTCTCCATCTTTTTGATAGTATAACTTATACACAGTTTGCTTATGGCCGGTCAGCTTCAAGAACCATGCATAAAACCAATTTTCATTAGTGAGCCTCTCTGATATTTTCCTGTCTAAGGCATTCAGATGAATCGCTTCCGGGTATTCGCTGTTCTGAATCCAAATCAGGGCAGACAACTGCCTCTATTCGTCCCTACTCATTTCTTGGATACGATTCGAGCCTATAGTTCAAACGGTTTATATCAACTGGGGCTTCACTCTCATTTTTGCTTCCATCTCTCTGAGCTTTCCTCAACTCATGCTGTGCCTGGAAGTTTCCGGTCAAAGAACTCTTCAGGGAATGGACCTCTGCGTGTCCTGCTGCATATTTTTTGCCACTCAGTAGTTTAAGCCCTTTCCTTTTATAATCTGCTTAGTCCCTGTTTTTCTGTAATCCGATTTTCGATATGTTTCGTTTCACTGCTCTTTTTCTTTCTGGTTGTCAGTAACGTCCACAAGGCGGTAACTAGAAACAAAGCAATCGAGAATGAATTCTTCTGCTGTGTTCCCCATTTCTTCCCAACTGCTTTTCAGGTAGAAGCGATATAAATAAATAGTTTCTGTCGTTGCTCCCAAAAGTAAATGTCCCATTCCACTGGAGGGTTAGTATTATATATGCATACTGCATACTCTATGGAAGAAGTATAATCAATCTGGTCGCCTTATTAGGGCCCCCGTTCCTGCACCTGAACCTTGATGTCATTGGACTCACCAAGATGGATCTAGACGGTTCAGGAATCTTTTTTTTTCGAAATAAATATAATTTTGAATATTTAGGCAACGATTCCCCATTCCGAGCCAATTCGAATGCCGGAAAAACCAAAATGGGAAAACGAAGTTGAAAACGCAAAACAGGTACGACTATCCATCCCATTACCAAAATTGTTCTAGTTCCTTCAAATTTTAAAACCGCAGAGTGAAAAAGTTTCCCTACCAATGAATCATTTCAAAAGTTTCGATTCGAAGGCTTCAAACCCATGAAAGTGTTATTTACTTAATTGTTTATTATTAATTGCTTGCCATGGACTTTATTGAAAGCATTATTCCAAGTCACAACATCCATTCATTAAGTTACACAGACCGAACGAGACGAAATATTGCAAAAACAAAGGAATAAAATAGCTGATAACAGCTAGCTGGCGTCCTTGAAATACTGAGAAATTTCCATTTCCATTTTTTAAGCCTTCATCACATAAAAAAGTCCCGTGTGGGAGAGGTCTTCGTGTTGCTTGTTTGTTTTTTTCCAAAAAAAAATTTCCTGTTTCAAACCGAAAAATCCCATCCTTAAAGTATGACAATTAGAATAAGCTCAAAGCATAAATTGAGTCATTCCCTCACATTGCCGACTGAAGCTGCTTATAATTAATGTGAAAATTATTTATCATGGCATTTCACCATTCTGACTCTTTTTTTGTACCTATTAATGAGCTACGGACATTGTCCTGGCCAATGTGCTCCATTTTATGTAAGGGTAGCAATGGGACGAGTTTACGTATGGCAAGCAGATGGGATGCTGTTCAGAAAGGATCTGGTCATTCGTTTTACGCTGAATCGCCGTACAGGGTTTATTATGATAGAACTGCTTAATTACGTCGACTTTCCGAACAACTAATCGTCTTCTAGGGCTCAAAAGAAGTTAATGAAGCGGTTCTATCATAGGAATCTATCTTTTCTCCTCTTATAAGTCGGAATGTGATATTGGGAGCGGAAAGGAACTTTGGAATTCGAGTGAAAACTGAGCGAGTCGAGAGTGGCCGCTGTAGATGATGTCATAGATCCAATCTAGAGTCGTAGGCACAGTCTGCGATAGAATGGCTTCTGAGACTTCTACCTATGAGTACCCCGGGGCCTCACGGATGGCACAAGGGACGCTGTAGGCTCTGCAAAGGCCCCAAAAACCGGCTTCGACGACGTACACACCCACAGCGATGCGTTTTTACGGCTCTGTAAAAGCTGCAGAGGTTGCACCGTTTGCAGTGAGACCAGCACGCAGCTTACCTTAGCCAGCTATTTGTAGTGGCGCTCACATTTGAACAACTCATTCGAGTACCCCTTTCATGCAGCTTTTATCGTCACATTTTCGTCCAATCCCTAATTTTCTACTTTTCTGATGCCTTATATTTCTCTAGATTTGCCGATTTTCGCGTCTTCTTGGCCGCTTTTACCTTACTCTGTATTATCGCCTCCATTATTCGCCTAAAACTAGATATCTCAGAATAATCGTGGACTGTGCGTTTAATCTATTGGGAGTAATCTTACTCCCGCTAGCCAAGGTCGCAAATACTGCCTGGAATAATTCCTTCTTCCACTTCTACTGATTTTTGACAGGTTTCTATGTAAGTGTAGTCTTTCTGGCACCAAGCATTTCAGTGGACCAAATGGGTAATGGTCGGAGGGCGCGCAGTCAGGACAATGCGAGTGGTAAAAACCTGGGCACAGTTCACGATAAAAATGGTGTCTGAGTTCTCCCTTTAGGAATATCCAGTAGACCCTAAGAGTAACAGGTAAGACGCTGACGGGTCTAAAGACTCAACAGCTAGGGCTAGTGGGAGCCTCTTTACCAGATCGCCCGAATTCCACGCCCCTCGACCAATGTCACGTCAGACAAGGGGATGTCAGCGCCCTTTGGCTCTGGGTCTCTGACGCCAGACCGCAGTGTGCATAGAGACCGTGCTAGGGAAGCAAATCAGGGATTGATTAACTCGTGCAAAAAGCTGAGCATCGAGCAAAAATCATCTTTGTGTTCTGGAATTGACTGATTGACTTACACGAGTTAACAACACCTTGGAACTTCTACTTTTTCATCAGTTACGTGCAATACTGGCTCTAATATTTTACTGTCCTATGCCACAAATATCAAAAAATAATTTTTTATTCCTAAACATCGAACATCCTAGCTCTGAAAATTCCCTGGTCTGGTATTTTTCAGCTAAATTTTTTTTGACAGCTATTCGTCGTTTTGAATTCTGGAAGACTTGGCTGTACCGGCTGCACCACGTTCCTTTCTTGCTGAATCCTAATTTTCCCTGATATATCACACTTTTGCCTTCAATTTCCGGAAATTCTCAAGCAAATCAATACCTAAATATCCCCAAACTTGTTTGCCTCCAGCAGTTCGGTTTAACGATTGTAATAATCCTCACAGAGAAGAGTCGGAATGTTAAGACATGCTGCCTCAGCGTAATCCATGCGCCAAATGCTCCCAACAATTCTCTATTGTTACATGTACCCACCCTAGTATACCAGTTATTCGGCTCTTTGAAGTTTTCTTTAGTTTTGTGCTTTGCCTACCTTGTAATCTACTATATCGGCTACTTTTCGGGAGCAGATCTCTCAGTTACTGCTCTTCATGATGAGCGCTAGGCTGGAGAAGTAGTGGTCGCCAAAAGTTTTCAGTAAATAGTATGATCTTCCTGAGCTCTTTCTCTTTTTCTCTTCTTCTTCCTTTCCCTCCTCCTTCAGGTGTGAGACCCTTCCCTTCTGCCATAAGCTTCATCAACCATCACTGAACAGCCTTCAGATTCTGATGCAGCGAGCATTTCTTATTCCGCACTTTATTCTCCCGATCAAAGCTCCAGACCAGCCCAACAAAGTTCGCTGACCAGGTGGGTCGGAAATTTGAAATTCTGGAAACCCCTGGATGGAAAGCATGCAGGCGACGACACATTGTAGAAAGTTCACTATGCCAACCACTTCGCGCTTTTTCTTTTTTAGGCATTTTTGAGAACTTTGATCATGGTCTGTGGTTTCGTGGTAGAAAGACG